TAATATAAAAATAATAAAATAATATATATATTTTTAAATATAAATATATAAAATAAAATAAAATTAATAAAATAATTATTGAAATGATGTTTATAAAAAAAGTTGAATGGTACAAATTTCAAGAAAAATTACACCCCTACTAAAGGGGTGCCATTAGCATCCCCCTAAAATAATGCTTAAAATTCAAAATAAAAGGAAATTTAAGGGGTTCGGATAATTGGAAATTAAGCCATCCTTAAAATCTATAAAACATATGTTATAAAATATTTAACAAAAGCTATTAAAAAGTATTTTTTTTATACATAAAGTACCATTTATTGATACACATTACTTAAAATTCAAAATTACAAGTAAATAATGAATAAGTACAATTTATTAAATATACATACTTGAACTTGTGTAATTAATTACAGATAAACATAATCAAATACTGGATAAATATTTTAAATTAAAAAAATCTAAAATGTAATTAAAATAATCATTGTGTTCTGACAAAATACTGAATTATTATCTTTATAAAAAAATATGTTATTAAATCAATAAATAAATTACTTCGTTATTAAACATAAATTAAATTATAAAAAAAACTTGAATTAAAGAAATTAGACAACAAAACAAGAACTTTTAAATAATTAATTTGATACTAATATCGATATATATTTTTTAAATTTCTAAATATAAAGATGTAAAATGTAAAAAAAAATTAAAGTACATTAAATAAATAATCATAAGGGTAGAAAATATAAGTTTAAAAAATATAAATTTTATGTATTTATGATATTTAATAATATAAGATCAAATCAAAAAAAAAAAATTCAATATTGAGTTCATTTTAAACGTATTGATGAGACAATTATAATCATGTAATTTGTAAAAAAAATCATATTTTTAATATATTTTAGTTAATATACAAATCAATTTATAAGCAATATAAATTTTTATATACTTTAGTCCTTGTGGTTTAATATTTATAGCTTGTTTCATTCCTATGATTTAGAATTCATTTCTACTTTAGTCTTTTATACTTAAAAGCAATATTTTGACCTTAAAGAAGAAAATAAAAACAAATTGCAAACCATATAAATGAAAACCAAAATTTTAAAATCACAAAGATAAAAGCTGCTCGAACAGCTTTCGTAAAATAAAAAAAAAATTAGTTTTTGTTCTATAAAATGTTTCAACAATTTTACTATCTTGTTCTCTAAAATAGAGAATCATGGAGATTCTCTATAACTTGATGATAGAAGAGAAAAATGATTATTTTATTCAATTTCACCACTGAGATTGAGTTATATTTTTTTATAAAAAAAGTTTTTATATATAAATGTATTGATATGATAAATTATAGAATATTATAATAATATAATTTATATTAAAATTTTTAAAATAAAAAATCTGTTAAATATAAATGTAACTTTTTAAAAATATCTATGCTTTATTTTAAAAAAATATATATAAAAAGCTATTAAAAATCTTCTAAAAATGGGAAGCTAAAATAATAAAAAAAATTTATTTTATTTACAAATGTGGATAGAAGGCGGAAGGGTCGAAATTGATTTGTAGTTTACTTGTTAAAAAGACAATGACAAGTCGCAAGCTTTCTTCTTACGGCGTGAAACACGTGTATTTGAACAAAATTATTGATCAATTATTTATTTGTTTCATTTTTAAAATGTGAGATGTTTTAAAGAGCAAATTACATTTTTAGTCCTTATAGTTTGTTAAAAGTTTCTATTTTTGTTCCTTTACTTTTTTAAATTATGGTTTCCATCCCTGTGGTTTGCTATTTATTTCGGTTTTCGTCCTTGAGATTAACTCTGCTAACCTTATGTCCTTATCCTCATTAATCGAGGGACCTTTTGGTCTTCTTATAAGTTTCTTATTTTACTTACTTTTATTAAAATAAATACCCCACACCTACTTCTTCTTCCCAAGAACATGACACGCTGATGTTCACCTTATCCAACAACAACCACAAACAATTTGTTCCTTCCCTTGTGTCCTCGATTTGTTAGATCAAGACACAAACAACCCAGAATTTAAGGATGATCAATAAGTTAAATGTATATGGAGAATGGTTTAGTGTGATACAGATATATATATATATATATATATATATAACTATACTTTATTATCACAACTACACAGATTACATCAGTTTACATATATACAATACTAAAGAACCGTCGCATCCCTTCAAGGTAACGATTCAATTTGTAACTGCCATAAAGTTAACTAGCCATAACTGCTAATAATGATGTCTAGCTTAGATCTTTCAACAGATTTCAATATCTATTTCTACCCCCTGCACCCTCAAAAGGTGGATAACGAAAGAAAATTGAAGTTATGTCGCCACGTAGATATGCCATCGGGACGGCAAATGAAGCCACCCATCGGGATTTTGCATGCACCACCTTGTCGGAGTACCTTTCAGCCTCCGTCTTCGTTTTTGTTGTCGAAGGCTCCGTCCTTGCTCTTAGTATGAACTAAACTTTCCGGCAATCAAATGGGCAGGTTTGGATTGTTTAACAGTTAGAATTTCATGTTGGATTTTGAACATTCAGAGAAAGCATACGGTGGTGATGTGTTGGGAGCGATGACAAATGTGTTGGTGGTAATAGCCACCACACTGGCATTGTTTGTCCTCGTCTCATCCAATTTAAACATATCCAGTGGACACATAAAGCCAGCGATCACTTTTGGTACACTCGTCACTGGAAGAGTCTCGTTGGTTCGAGAACTCTACCACTGGGTGGCTCAATTGATTATATTTCTTTTCCCTAGAGTCTCGTTACTTCGGCCAACTACCGTCGGCATGGTATACAATAAATACTCCACCCACCATCAATTTCTTCCATTTTTCTTCACATCATTATGTTAGGGTCACACATCGACTAGACTTGGAAAAATTCTTCTCTATCTATGTTGGAACTTTTCTTCTCTCCTTAAGGGCTTTTTTGGAGATTAATTTGAGATTTATCATATTCTCACATGATATCAGAACCAAAGTTTACCACTATAAAGACTCGATACTCTGGGCAATATCCTGAACATTTTTCTCCACTATAGGGACTCGATACATGGACGAAAACCATTGCAAACCAAAGTGACTAAAACCGTAATTTTTAAACCATAAGGACGAAAATATAATTTTTGGCAAACCACAAGGACAAAAACGTAATTACTATATCTTAAATAATTGTATACATTAATTCACGGTCATGATCGGACCTGCGCTTTCAAGAGGGTCAATCTTTTAAATGTGGTTTATATATATATATATATTAGAAGCGTACTCGCGCAATGCAGCGAGATACATCGTGTTTTTAATATTTCATTTTATTCTTTATTTCAGTCGATGTTATAATATGACT